ACTTGTAATAAATGGTGGATTATGTTAATCAAGCAGAAAAACGGAGACACGCAACTCAACAGCGAAAGAAACAGAGATAGAGAGAGATGGAGAGAAATATATATATATAGAAATATATATATTATAAATATACATATAAGAACACAATATAAATGAATGAAACATTTTATTAATGGTTTATTTTATTTTTTTTTATACTGTCCCAACATTTGGAACAGAAAAGTTTCGTCACAAAGTGAAAAGCAAAAAATGCCTAAAAAATGAGCCAAAACAAAATAAGTCAGGCAAGACAAAAGTTATAAGCATTCGGCGCTGCCATAGCTTTGCTTAAATAATTCATTAAATTAAGTACACAAAACAATCAATCAAAGCGCATTTAGACTTCGCCAATGAAATGTTAATGAAATGCTTAGATTTTCTTTGATTTTTCTCTCCAATGCATACCAGCACACACATTTTGTTTACTTTCTGTTAGTCGTCTTTCTTTTCTTTTATTACTTAAAATAGTTCTCATTGGCTTTTTTTGCGTGTTCTTTTCCACTTGCAAGTTAGCCACTTTACTGCCAAAAATATGTGTATCGTTGCCAGGCAGTCCAAAACGAAATGTTTTGCGGCTGCAACCAAGTCAAGGGAATTTCCGACAAAATCGTCCGATATACAAACAGCTCCAGGCAATTATGGCAAGAAGCCGAAACTTTCAAGGCGGCAAAAAAAATATAATAAAATAAAAAATGCAGAAATGAAACTGAAAACATTTTTAAAGTAGAGTATGTACTTTGCATATTGTTAGGGTTCAAGAATAATGCATACAAAAAAAAAGGTAAGCTGCGAAATTGTTAACTTGTTGTTGTTAGTACACAATATGGATTTTGTTGACTTTCGACTAAAATCTTTTGGGAGCAGAGCATAAAAATTAAGTGCAAAAATCGCATATTTCTAGTCGAATAACAAATATTGAGTATATTAAAATGAATGCACAACAACGACAATTATGCATTCATTATTTATCTGATCTAAACTAAAAGTTACTCGAGCAAACAATAAAATATATAATAAATTAATTAAATCTCGGAAAGAGTATTTTTATTTCGGCCCTAGAGCAGTTGAGATGCTTTTTGCTCGTCAGCCTCGGTTCAGGATTTGGCCAGACAGACAGGCAGACAGCTTAACAATACATATTTGTCAATTGGCAGGCAGACTTAGCCTCGGCTACTTTACGGGCTTATAGCTTATGAGTGGAGCGCAACGCAACATGAAAATTCGCATAAAAACTTGCACACTTTTGTTGCGCTCGCTGTGGCAACCACAACAACGCCCAGGACAATGTACGCGACCCGCAAGTGGGTAAAAGTCGCTAGAATTTGATAAAAAAAAAATATATATATATACATATAAAAAATATGAACGCCTTACTCATGCTCAGCTTCATTCTCAATTTATGTATAAGTTTCTGTTGTCGCGCCGTAGGATCAACTCGTTGCGACTCGTCCTTCGTCTCATAAGCCGTTGCAAGTTATTGGCAACAGATTTCCCCTGACGTCTATTTTCATGTGCATTCTGCTGCCGAGGAAAGCAGAACACCATTCAAGGCGAACACCCGCCGGCTGCAGCATAGTTTAGTCCTTTAAAACACACATATTATCACACACACATAGACCAAAAAAAAAGCCAAAAAAAAAAAGCCAACAAAAAAACCAAACAAAAAAAATATGCGGTGTAAATGTTTGCCTTGTGTTGCATTTTTCAGTAACATTTTTACAAAAATAGTGTTTACAACTAAATTTTTGAGAGCGTGCTGCTTTGCTTTGCTTGGCCTGACTTTAGTTAAATATGAAGTTTACCTAACAAATAGTTGGCAGTGCCATGGCCGGTGATATTTCGGCAAACTTATTTACTCAGCACATAGTTGTACAGTTAGTTAGTTACTCAGCATGTGAGTCGGGTGCGTCAGTGCGACTTGTCCAAATATTTTTGCAAAAGTTGTGGCCTTTGACTTTGACTGCGGAAAGGTAACCAACTCAAATCAGTTGCCCAAAATTTACATTTACAAATATGCACGTAATATTTACATTATTTTGTAAACAAACAATACACAATTTTGTTGAAATTTGATGGTAATGTTTTTTTTTTCTTAACTTCTTTCACTTATATTTTTTTTTACAAATAAGACATTTCATTTCATAGAAAATGTGCCATTGTAATTTTAAGAATTTTTATTCGCTCATTGAAAAAGGATCTCCAAGAACCAAAACGTTTAAAGGGTTTTCAGTGCGATTTTCTAAATTGCACTCGATGTGTTTCCGAGTGTACAAAAGGATTTGGCGACTGCAATATTTTGTCCACGAAGGTAATTTAATTGCTCGTGGTTATGTTGCTCACATTTCATTATTAACAATAGTTGTTGATTTTTAAAACATTCTTAAAGCACCTTGCGGCATGTATTTTATTTATATATTTTTCTTTACTTTGCCTGCAGCACGTGCTGTCCAACTGCCAGAGTTTTAATTATGTAAGGTCTTTATAATCGAATAATTAAAAATGAAAAATTAACGCATGAAAAATGCATTTTCAACACGAATTTACAACGGCAGGTGCAGTCGGTCGCTGGCCGCTTCACTGCATCCAGCAGCCATTCCATCCGGAGTATGCATATACCCTGTTCGCAAACAATTGCAGGAAAAGTTAAATTGAAAAACCCGAAGAACTTCAGATGAGTAACGTATAGTATAGATATATATGACAGATTGGAAAACAAATAATGAGTATGAAGACTAAGCTCTCAAATGAAAAGGCAATTGCAAAGTGTAATCAACAATTAAACCATTTAATTAATATATTTGTAAGAGGTATCTGATGTTTCAGCTTGCTCGATTTGAGAGTGATTGTTATATTTGGCCTGGCCGCGTTTTTTTTCCATTTGCAAACACTTTGAGCTCAGATGCAAATATAATTGTAAGATATTTCGCTGGGTATATGGTTGGCAAGAACGAGCTGATTGCAAACAGCAAGCAGAAGCCAAACATGAAAAACTGTTCGGCATTTAATGAAAACTGTCTGAGTAATTAAATACATGATGACAAAAGTAAGCACACTCACACACACACAAGCACTCTGATTCGGGAAGTAAGCGTGCAAAAGCCGAAATTTATTTATTTAAAGACCCCATACATATAGATACAGACATATCTACATGTGTATATATAGATGGGGCACAGCGAAATATTCGAATTATTAATGACATCCATCGACATGGACAATGACAGTGGCACGAACATGGAAAATGTATCCATTGACTTGGGAAATTTTGTTTCATTTTCGTGACTCAGTCAGTGTGTGTGTGTGTATGTGTGTGTGTGTGTGGAATATTGTTGGCTGCTTTGTAAGTTAAGCGCATTTCTGTGGTCCCGGGTGCAGCTAATGCGTTAAAGAGCTGAGCTCATTACGGCGAGCACGTCGAGGGATATCGGGGGACCCAACTATTAACATCCTTTGTTTGTGCTGAGCCAACACATTTGGTGCAAATAATTTACAAGCATTCCGGCAGAAATGTTCATGGCGGAAATGTTAAAAACCCACCAAGTAGTGTCCGGTCCGGCACAAAAAGCATAAGAAAAATTTCAAACAAAACTTAATTACTTGCCCAAAGTTTGGCACAAGCGAGTGGAGGAGTCGAATGCCATTCGGGGCAAGAGGGGTAGCAAAAAACAAATTGGCCAAATTTGCTTGACTTGCTGGTGTGCTTGTATTTTGTATTTGTTGTGCTTTGTTTATATTAACTGAGCAAGGGTGACACTTCTTCCGCTTTTTCAGTTACTTTAATGAGGGTTTAAGTATTATTTGCTCAAGGGTTGCCTTTGCCCTTTTGTTTAACGACGATGGGCCATTGCAATACCTTGTCCACGTTATTTGAAAGGGCCCAGCAAACAAAGAACCAACACAGAAAAAATAAATAAAAAGAGAACGCAAAAATGTACTAAAAATAAAAACAAAAAAAAACTTTGTACTTGAATTGAGTGTAATAATTTTTAATTTTAATTTTTAGTCGCGCTGCGGCCAAAAATGTTAACATTTTAAGCCATTCTGCTAACCAAAAACAAAGGCCAAAAGAGAATGTAAACGACAATTTAGAGATAAAAATTTCTACTGTTTCGTGGTTTTGAGATAAACAACATTTTCAGTTGTAGTCTAATACGCCTTTGGCTAGATTTGTATACGAAACTTACTAGCATTAAAGATGTATAACAATAACTTGGCTTGTATTTGCTTATGTAAAGAAAAGAAATCATTTTAAATTATGCCCCATAGTTGGAGCTATTTTTATTCATTTATTTTATTTTTTTTCGACAGACATATTGGATTTCAGTTCAGGTTGATTGGCTCTCAAGTTGACACTTACTCCCCTGCTCTTTCCCATGCTCTTTCACCAGATCAATTTAATAGTAAAAATTGAGAACATTCAAACCGCATAATTTGCCAACATAAAGACGAGCCCTTTTCATATTACAATCGAGCGACAGATGAAAATGAGCTCCATTTTTTTTGTATTATTTTTTATTAATTATGCGCTTTTGCTTCGCGAACTGTTTGCCAGTGCGAACACTTCTCACATAGCTCCACTCAACGCAATGGCACTTGACTGATGTCCACACTGAAGGCGCTGACAATGGTTGGCTAGGGCCAGGTTGGCGGAACAGATGTGGATGCGGCTAGCCAGACGAGGAGTTGACGTCATATTGAATCACTGTCCTGGTTCCAATGCCAGCTGCCAATTGCTGGTCTTTCAATAAATTGTGTGCTTTAATGAGTCGTAGGTGGCAGGATCGGGGCACAGTTCAGAGTATAAAAATACATTTTAAATCAGCTGCATATTTGTATAAAGCTTTATTTGATTTTAATTGATTTTTTTTGTTTTTTTCTTTTTACATGTATATATATAAATATATATATATGTATGTATGTTTGCCAGCTATTTGCTTTTAATTTACCAACACACACGCCCATAAAGTCTGTCGATTGTGGGCAAAATTCGCTTCGATTGGCGTCTCAGCTGGGGCTCGACTGTGCTTTATCCCATATATTTGCACATAATTCGACTGTTTGATCTGTTGAAAAAATATGCGCGTATTTTAATTTTATTTGCTTTTTAAATGAAGCTTCAGCGGCCCCAAGCCACACAGCTGATTGCGTCTGCGCCCCCGGCATACACAATCAGTTGGCCAAATTCGACGCCGCCAATCCCCACCCCTTCCCCCTTCCCCTTCATTCGACATTACGAAAATATGCCACCCAGAAATTAACCTCAATGCAAGCAATGCGTATGCTACCCAAAAGTATGCTATACAATATAAAGCACAAAATAAAATGAAATTTTATTTACGTTGTTTCTGTGCTTGGGCCCGCGGCTAGTTAAGTTTTTGGCTTGTCGTTGCTTCTCTGCCAATGTGTGTGCGTTTGTGTGTGTGTGTGTATGTTTATGTATGTTTTTCTGTGTATCGTAAAATATTTGCGTTATTATGCTAGTAATTTTTTGCAATGTTCTCTCGCTACTCGCTTCTGTGTAGTTTCTCTTCCTGTGCTTTGGGGTTGCGTTTACAGTCCGCTAGCTCATTTTTATTTCGGCGCCCCCGGGCTGGGGATGACAAAATCGTAGCATGCTACATGTGAGTAGCTTGCATTCCCTTTCTCGTAATAAAATGTCAAGCATTCTCAGGCAACAACAACAACAAAAACAACAAAAACACACATAAACACTGCTGCTAATAAAAGTAAAGTAAGTCAACTGAAGCATGCTTTCTACTCTGCTGCTTGGAAAATATCAACTTGTAGTTTAAACGCAACCCGAACAAAAAACAAAAACTCTGACAGCATCCGTTTTAGTAGCTATTGACTAGATGTGAGGTAGGAAGCCTGGCTGACTGCTGTTTGAGCCAATTAGCAGAGCATCGAAAATTTGTATAACATAAGACAGATGCGAAAACTCTATAAACAAGTAAACGAGTAGACATTTTAATGACCTTCGACTTGAACAATCTGTCGAAAATGGCAACAATCGAGGCGTTAACGGATATTGGCTTAAAATGCAATAAAAATGTCTCAGCTCCTGAAGCTGACAGAGGCAACCAGAAGGACAGCAAGCACATTTATTGGTAAATAAAGTTCCGATTCCGTCCATGGCATAAAAGTTAATAATAAATTGAAACAATGAAGCCAAATGGTTGATCTTTGCACCGAGAACGTAAAACAAAATTCAACTTTATAGCCGTTGTAATAAAATTTTTAATGGGCTCGCCAAAGGCATATGAAATCCGCTAGACAAAAACAGCCAACAGTGGATTTAATTAATTTTACGATACAATTTGTAGCCATAGAAATATTTAGACCGACTAATATATATAGAGTACGTGATATTTGTTTTATATTTTTGATTTACCTGAGCCAAAGATGACGGCCTTCAAGTATAGAAGTGATTGAAACGAACGAGAATTAAGTTCAACAAATTTTGGCTTTAATTTAATTTTATGAATATATTTATGTATATTTTCATTATTAATATTAAAGTTTAGATATAATAAAGATATACTAAATATAGATATATATAAATATGTTTTACTACATCTTTACATCAAGAATCAATAAAAATATACATATTCATGACGCATACAACCGTAGTCTGATGAATAAATTCATTTCTATATTAGATGAGTACTAAAATAAACACTTCAAACATAATTTTGTATTGAGAGCTGAAATATTTATTAGCTATCGCAAGCAGAGCAACTGTTAATGAAAGGTGGGACTGTAATGAAGGCTTGCATGAGGAAAGCTTCCCAAAAATAATTTTTGGAATATTCGGGAGCAGCTAGTCAATAATTAATAAGCATTCGCAATTAGAGGGTGGGCGCATGGCATCTTTGACAACATTTTTTATGCGTGTCACAGCATTTTGTCATAAAGTGATAAAGGTAAAAAATCAAGACAAAAAACGAATGGGAATGGGCATTATTTTGGGCCAGACCAGACCCTGCCAGACCTTTTGTTCTCCGACCGGTAGATGATGGCAAACCTGACGTCGTGTGTCGTGATTGTTACGCTTTGCTCGCCAGCGCAGCTCCATGTTGAAGATGAAGATGAAGACGGCACTGCAGATGAAGATGAAGATGCCGCACGCATGTGACATAATTGAAAGAGACATGGCTGCCACGTAGCAACGTCGACAGGTGCGTGAGGCAGGGGGCAGCAGCTCAGGTCGAGTCAGGTGCACGTTTAACTTTTGCTGTCTGCCCGCCTTCCAATAGCAGATTATAATGTACGCATTGCCTTATTCAAATACGGTATGCATGAGTGTGTGTATGTGTGTGTGTGTGTGTGTATGTGTATGTGTGTGATTTTATGCTTGTATGCGTGCATAGACTTTTCTATAGGAAATTAAATTAACGGCAGCTGCTGCTCAGCGGGGCGGCGATAACAGGCACTTATGTTTTAAAAATTATACGAAAATAACGAAATTAGCATAAATAAGCGACGCTAATAGGATTTCGTTTGTAATTATCAAATTGGCAACGATAAAAAATTGCCAAAAATAATTGAATACATTTAAAGCTAAGCACAGCAAAGAGATTTGCCTTAAACACTGGCCCCCCTCACACTTATCCCACAATTTATGATGTTTAAAAAGAATATATATATATAACGAGCAGCTGAAAATACTGTAGTCATGTGAACTTGACGACGGGGAAGCCCGAACCCAGCAATTAAATCAAATATTTTAGTTGCATTGCCCAATTAACCTTTAAAAAAAAACTTTGCACCCTCAAATGTAAATGGGTGTGGAAGTGTTCTCATTTTTTATGGTCTGCACAGATACTGGAGGGTAAAAAAAAGATAAGACAGAAAGATGGAATAAACTTGATCTACCACAACTTATATACCAAAATTGAAGTCACTAACTCTTATAGTCTCTGATGTACGCGTCCACATACGGATGGACAGACATGCATTGCTATATCGATTCCGATCAATAATACCCATTACATACTTTTGCAGAAAATCATTATACACTTTTTAACCAGTTTTAATGGGTTCAGTATACAAAAAAAAAAAAATGTTTGCCACTTTAATTTATTTTTTTTGTTACATGCCTACATGATGCCTGCATTTGAATTTGAGCCAAATTTATCGGTTGGCTCGGCGAATCGATTTTGCATTATACGCGTTATCAATGTACCTGCTAATTTGCTTAAAAACATAATTAACACCTCGCGTATATTCACACACATGTACACAGACAGGCACACCCACTCACATACACTGTTGCATTGGAAATTACGCAATTTTGCAGCTACACGCGAGTCGTAAAAAACAAGCATTGAAGGTGCAAAAAAGAATGCTGAAAAACACATTGTAAATCAATGCATTGAAAGAGCAGCATGTAGAACAACGACAGCAGCTATACAAATAGCAGCAGTAGCAGCAGCAACAACAACAACAACAACTGCAGCACCAATCGAATCCATACAAAAAGTGGCGCGTCAGACACGGCGAATACTTTATGTAATTTTTGTTTGTTTGGCTTTTTTCTTTTTTTTTTGTTGAATGTTTTGCGGTTTTCGCACAGCCTGTGAAATTTGCAAAACAAGATAAATAAAATTACGATTGGCATTTGCAGCATTTCAGGGTGGTAAATATTTTATTTAAATAACTGAATAATATTAATAATAATTAGTATCAATTCTGCATCACATTTCATTTTAATTGACTACGAACTTTAACAAATGCTCATAACTCACTTACAGTTAAAACCCCTTAAGCTTTATTATTATCTACTTTAGTTTTTCAGCACACAAGTCAAAGCAATCTATATTGTTATGTAATAATAAGGCACAAATACAACTGAAACGTGATCCCAAGAGCAAATTTAGAGCACAACGACGTTGTTGAAGTATCGAATTGCTTCGGCAGGTTTATTGCAAATTTCTAAATTATCTTACAGCTATATACAATTATTCTTATCCTACTTAGGACATTATCTAGGTACATATTCACTGCTGCAAATGTGTCTAGACTCATTATCCTATCAGTTCGGAGAACTCTTATCGTGGGAGGTTTAATTACAGTCACGACTGGTGCCGCGTACGTGTCTGTTTGCGTATCTTCTTGATTAGAATCCTTCTTGGTTATCTTGCAGTTAAAATTTATAATTTTATAATCAAATATAACAGCTATTTTGTTGCTTTCATTCATGTGACATAAATTGTACTATTGCAAAAAGAAGCACTCACATTATTGTTGGCCTGTTTTATTATATTTTCATAAAATTTTCGTGAGTACATCTGGACGTTTATAAATTGCGTACTTACAAACTTCTTGGCGTCACTTTTACAACATAATTTTATATTTTAATAGCTGATATAACTTAAAAGCCGGCTGGGTTGAGTAATCAAACCAAAAAAAAAATAAAAAATTAACAATAAAAAAGGTTTCAGAGTTGGTCGCTTTTTCATTTCCGTAGCTTGCTTTGGGCACCAATTAAAAGTGATTAGTTTCATATTGCGCCATTTATATAATTCATATTTTTTATTGTGAATTTCGTATTTTGAATTGCCGTAACGCGAAACCGAAGTCCCGCAATGGCAAGCCGAGCAAAACCTTTTAAATTCCGTTGTTATTAATTGCCGGGACTATGCAAATGGGGCCCAGATCCGAGGCCCCGATCTTTCCCACCCCATCCCCCTACCCACCACCCATCACCTACCCTACGCCACACACCCCCCCAACGCCACAATCTCAGGAATCGCTTGCCAATGCACGTAAACGTTTACCTATAATTTTATGACATTCAGAGCGGCGGCATTGGCGGTAAACAAAGTTTTGCGTTGTTGATGTTGTTGTTGTTTTGTTGCTTTGTTGCTTTGTTGCTTTTCCGCCTGCCCACCTTTTGCCGCAAGGAACTTTTGTAATTATAATCTACATAACTTAAAATGCGAAAAGGACGCGCGGGCAAAGTTTAACGCAAGCAACGCACGTGAAATTAAATTATTACGATAAATACATCTATTAATATATATGTGTACATAAATATGTAAATGTATGTGCATGTGTGTGT